TGAACGGGATGCCAGTCCATCACAGGGTACAAAGCTAAGGACACCCTGAACGGGATGCCAGTCCATCACGGGACACAAAGCGGGGGACACCCTGAACGGGATGCCAGTCCATCACAGGGTACAAAGCTAAGGACACCCTGAACGGGATGCCAGTACAGCACATGTCACACACACTAACCTGTACAGTTACAAATTTTGGGCAGTTTAGATGCACCATTTAATCACATCTTTGGACTGTGGTAGAAATCCAGAAAATTACAAGGAAAACACTGTAAACCCCACAGAATCTTTGACATTATTGCTGTGATAACATAATGCCACAATACGTAGTCTATGTGAAGAGCAGGAACAGTAAAATATCACATTTTTAACATCTGTATTTCAGGGGTCTTGTGACCATTCAGTACAAAGTAAGAGTGTGAAGTTTTAAAAGTGAATGTCACTATCCTGAAAATGGCGTGCTTCCATCCTGCAGACGGGGCTGAGGTCGGTCTGCCACACGCTGCCTTAACCAGATTAGTTATGGCACAGGAGACGAATCATTCTTGCCGAAATTCCTGAGGATTTTCCGCTAAAGACTGTTCATGGGGTGTGGGGGGGTTGTTATCTGTGCAACTGTGCAGGAACCAGAGTCTCATCTGGCATCGGCCAGCTGCTTAGGGAGAAATGAAGCCTCAAAAACTGAAGGTGGGAGGGACTGTCGATTGCATTGGCTCACCATCTGTTACGTCATTGGCTCCCAGTTGGTGACTGACAGCATGGTAGTCCCATGTTATGCTCCAAGGAGGATGATCATATCTAACACTGATCTATGCAAGGCTTACATGTGAGTAGTCATGTGACCATGGCTAGTTTTGATCCCCATTTCTACACAAAATGCTCGTACTGTTTTCAAAGCCACACTCATGCTGTTGTTGGCCTCTGGGCTAATGGCACAAGCCATCACTGCCCCCCCCCCCACCCACACACACACACACACACACACACACACACACACACCCCCAGACGCTTCCCTTGACTTTCAGGTCAACCACTGGGTTTTTTTTTTTAACATGCCTAGGGCCTGGAT